TTGTGAATGTATGCATTTGTTGTGCTAACAATCTCAAGTTTGCAAATAAGGGGTGAGCACTTGAGATTTTATGCAAATGCATGGGTTCACAAGTTTTATTATTAGCCACTACATAATCTTATGTTGAGTGTTTATTCGTTTTTAACCAAACAGAAAAATTGTTCGCTAAAAAGTGAAAAGTCGAAAGTTTTCCGACGGGGATTTGAACCCGCGTCGTCGCGACTGAAGTCTCATTACGCAACCGCTACACCACGGCCAGGCATTTTTCTGACTGCTGTGAAAAAATAATACATAACACCCTAAACAACCGACGCACACTTATGCGAGGTTACAGCCTGACACGTGAGTCGCTCGGTCGAGGACCTGTTTTCCACGTCTAAACGACGTAAGGTGTGCATCTGGACGTAAAGCAATGCCTTCCCAGACGTTGATATGACGTTGAATCTGTACCTCTGTCGCTGCCCTGCTTTATTTACTTGGAATCATCCTCTCTAGTAAGTACACAGTCTGCACAGTTTTTAGATATAGATGTATCATTTCCACTTTGAAAAGAGTTGGAGACAGAAAGTAAGTTGTTTTCTCACGTATACGTGGATTTTGTTAAGTATATTTTGTATATTATCTGTATTTTGAATTGCCAGTGCATGAATCTAGAATAATAACGGCTGGCACTGCTCAGCTGAAAGGGAGACACCTTTTTTTAGTTTTTAAGTTAAAGTTTAAAATATGATATTGTTTTTCATATTTCAAACTATTTTTAACACATTAGAATTCTTAGGTTAGACTGTCCAACAAACTATGTGTTAAAAAAGGTTAAGATTCTTGAGTTTTAAAATAATAATTCAATTCTAAAATGTAAAGTTACTGTATATTTCACAATGGTTTATAAACTGCAAAAAGACAACAGTACTTAGTAAACTAAGTTTAAAAACAGGGAGATCAGCTTTAATATTTGGGACACTCCCATCATTTAGACACCTGTGATGTCATCAGTTGGAGTTGAGTTCAGGTGTGGGACCATGTGGGACCATGTGGGACCATAGGAGCACACAGATGTTACCTGCTGCAGAAAGAGAGTTTAATGTTCATGTATTGCTTTGTTTAATAAATTGATTTAATGTCTTCCCAGGTCTTCAATGTCAGAGACTTTCACTTCTTCTCACTGTGGCTGTTTAAATGAGCCACTACAGTTGTTATTTTTGTTATTGTTAGCTGCAAATATTAAATATCCATTCATCTGCTGGTAGCAAGCTAACTAGCGCTTGCAACTCTATTCAATTTCTTACTTTTTCTTATAAACTTTAAAACCAGCCATATGTTAATAAAAGGTAAAATACATTTACCTTTGCTAATGCAGTCAATTATTGTGAAATCCATAGAGTATAATTTCATGATTGTTGCAATAACTAATGTTCTGTGTGTATTCCTAATGTGTCATGTGTGTTTGAGTCTTACAGGTGTCAGACTGTGTTGAAGGTGTTCAAAGGTAAGAATCACACTCTCACACATTGATTGTTGTTCTGTATTAATATGTTGTTTTTAGAATAAACCATTATTTGGTGTATTCTCTTTGAAAACATCTATCTTTTTCTCAGATTGTTCAGCAACTCACTCAAGATGAGGGAAAAGAGCAACAAGGGGAAAATGCCCCCTCGGAAATGCAACATGTGTAGAGTAATACAGGGTAAGTAGCTTTCAGGGCTCATTTGTGTCCATGTGCAAAACAAATGCACATTTGCAATTGTTTTTTACATGGAATTACTCCAATGACCAAAGCCTTATCCCAAGTTTCTCAGACGGAGTGTCTTCCAGTGTCTCGAGCTAGTGCAGTGCCAAGGTTTGTATCACATGGTGATGGATCGAGTGGTTTGAGGCATTAATAGAAAGTTATGTGTTGTTATATCACTTTGCCACATTATGTTGAAACTAAACATGTTCCACATTTTCAGGTGCTGTGCTTGGACCTTGTGATGAGAGACTGAAGACCAAGAGAGGACACATGTTGGAACCTCAACATTCAATAAATGCATTCTTCTGCCTTTCAGATTGTGTTTTTACATCTGGGGAACCTAGAGTGTAGCTTGTGCCTGTTTTAATACTGATCCAAACATAGGCGCTACAATCATGTTTTTTTACTTTGGCATGAACTGTTCAGTACAGTAGTGTTCATAACACTGTGCCCTGTGTGCTTTAACTTGTACTTTGATGTAGAGAAACATGATTTTTAATGCAGCTCCATTTGCAATAATGACTGATATCCTTCTACTACAGTTGTTCTAATGATTTTTGAATGCTGTGTTTATCGTTAATTGCCCAGAGTCAGAACTAAACATGATAAAGCTGCATTTCAGATTCACAAGGCTAAAATCTGGAACGATCTTCCTGGAAATGTGAGACCGGCTTCTTCTTTGACAATGTTAAAATCCAAGTTTAAAACACTTCTGTTTCTGCTTCAACTGAGAGATTTTATGAGGGATTGTATTTGTTTCTTTTTAATTTACAGTCAATATTTATAATTGTAATGCCTTGTTTGATTGTTTCTATCTTTTGTTCAGTGCTTTGAGTTTCCTTTTGTTTTGACTGTGCTATACAAATAAACTTGCCTTGCCTATTGCAAAAAGTATGTCTCGACCAGTGAGTGATTCTGCAGAGGTTAAGTAGATCAATAGGACTGTAAATGGACGTCATATAAACGTCAATATTTTGGTCATATAAGACGTCGAGAGGACGTCGGACCCGACCGGTTCTGTACCACATTGCAACCTTGTATGAAGTGGCCGCGACGTCATTTGAATGTCCAGATAACGTCCAGATGACGTTGAAATGACATAGTTTTGACATCTGCTTGCTTAGTGGGAACAACGGAAAACGAACGTCATATGAAGGCAATATTTTGGTCATATAAGACGTTGATAGGACGTCGGACCCGACCGGTTCTGTACCACATTGCAACCTTGAATGAACGTCCAGATGACGTTGAAATGACATAGTTTTGACATCTGCTTGCTTAGTGGGAACGACTGAAAACGAACGTCATATAAACGTCAATATTTTGGTCATATAAGACGTTGATAGGACGTCAGACCCGACCGGTTCCGTACCACATTCAAACCTTGAATTGACGTGCCATCAACGTAACATTTGGAGGTTGAAGTGACGTCGGGAAACGACGTCGAGAAAACTTTCATTCTGCACCCACCAGTGACCTATATTCTACGTCGGACAACGACGTTCAAATTACGTTGATTCAACGTCGGCTTGCTTAGTGGGTAACCACAGGGTTCGCAAACATTCATCTTTTCTCGTCTTTGATTTGTTTACCAATTGCGCTGCACAAATAAACCTGCCTTGCTAAATCTTGGCTCAGGTTCATTTGCGTCGCAAAGCTGTTCCCTTAATTTCCTGTCTGATTCAATCCAAAAATAACACATGCAATCCCTGATTAATTAATTATTCTTAATCAAATTATAATCCATTCATTTCAATATAATCACAGTAGAAATATCATTTATAATTTGGTGTTAAAGTACACACAACACTTTTCACTTTTAATACAATTTCTTCAGTCTAAACCAGAAAAGGGTGTGCAAATTGTTAATCTAATTATAGGAGAAATTATTGTATTTGAAATTGTGTGCTATCTGTTTTTGTTTCGTCAGGCCGTTACTTCCACTCAACAACCATAATAATTGCAGTTCACTTCCAGGAAGCATCAACAACGTTTCCTTCATTGATTAGGAAACAGAAAACAGGAAACTGAAGTCATTGTGGTCTGAAGAAGTTGACAACTAATTTAAAATAATAACGTAGTCTCGAGACAACACAGCATTATTGACTTGTGCCTTAAATCTTGAGCGGTTAATGTCTAATTAAAAAAGTGCTTTTACTCGAAACAGTAAAGGTGGCCAGAAGTAATTGGCACTATGTCGATTTTAGTGAACTGTAAAAATGGATGATTTTAGACGTGACTCCACTGGGGATCGGCTTCCAATTAGCTAAAGGTAAAAGTAGCCTGTGGTAGTGGCCTATGTTACTGCTTCAGTAACAAAGGCCAGTGTGAAGTTTTTGTTTGAAGGTATAAAAGAAAGGCGTAATGATATTTTTATCTTGGAACAGACCGAGCTATATTCTATTCTCACTAGATTCTCCCAAAAGCGCAAGAGTCGATCTGCATCCCTTAAAGAAGTTATTTAAACAATTCAACAATACAGCCATAAAAGGAGGTTATTTTAAGACAAAACATGTAAAGAAGCTAGTACTGCACACATTACATATCTGAAATGTAAGGTAATAAGGACATAAGCAGTGCTAGATTTTTTTGTCTTATTATAGATAGATAGATAGATGTTTTATTGATCCCCGTAGGAGGTGTAGCAGAACACTCATACAGGTCGGTTGTACAGTCTGACAGTTCCTTCGGCTCAAAGGATCTCTTAAAACGTTCCGTTCGGCAGCGCAGTGATATAATCCTCGCACAGCCAGCTCCCGAGTCCAGCACATGTTTATGGCACGGTCCCTCGTCCACCACATGGAGCTATACGGTTTTTCTGCTTTTGTCAGCGACTAAAAGTGTTGGGATCATGTAACGTGGAGAAAAAGTGTTTTTGGTGTTAATATGTGACGCACTATTTTGCCCGAAGAAGAAGAATGCAGCTCAACTTTTTTTTCTGTTCGTCTGCGACACTTTAGACTGTTCCAGAACTACATTTACCATGAAACTGGACTTACCCAAAAACTGATCTGGAAACCAGTGTTATTGCCACGATAAAAGACACTAACACAAAGCCCCGATCTGTCAGTACAGTGCAACCAACTGTATACTACGCTATATACTTCTGTGAACTAAATAATTAGGTTCTGATTCTGAATCGAGAACATAGGGCTCGAAGTTACGGATTGTCATTCTTGGAAAACGTTTATTCTCAGGTCTGAAATGACTATGTACCGGCGAAACAGAAGAGTTTGCTTTGGAGATAAACAACTCACAGCATGAGGCTACATCACTGCGCAAGCGGGGGAAGGCGGGTGAGGGAGGAGGAGGCGGGTGAGGGAAGGGAAGGCGGGTGAGGGAGGAGGAGGCGGGTGAGGGAAGGGGAGGCGGGTGAGGGAAGAGAAGGCGGGTGAGGGAGGAGGAGGCGGGTGAGGGAGAAGGAGGCGGGTGAGGGAGCAGGAGGCAGGTGAGGGAAGAGAAGGCGGGTGAGGGAGGAGGAGGCTGGTGAGGGAGGAGGAGGCGGGTGAGGGAAGGGAAGGCGGGTGAGGGAGAAGGAGGCGGGTGGAGGGAGCAGGAGGCAGGTGAGGGAAGAGAAGGCGGGTGAGGGAGGAGGAGGCAGGTGAGGGAGGAGGAGGCGGGTGAGGGAAGGGAAGGCGGGGTGAGGGAGCAGGAGGCGGGTGAGGGAAGAGAAGGCGGGTGAGGGAGGAGGAGGCAGGTGAGGGAGGAGGAGGCGGGTGAGGGAAGGGAAGGCGGGTGAGGGAGGAGGAGGCGGGTGAGGGAAGAGAAGGCGGGTGAGGGAAGAGAAGGCGGGTGAGGGAGGAGGAGGCGGGTGAGGGAGAAGGAGGCGGGTGAGGGAGCAGGAGGCAGGTGAGGGAGCAGGAGGCAGGTGAGGGAAGAGAAGGCGGTTGAGGGAAGGGGAGGCGGGGAGGGAGGAGGAGGCGGGGTGAGGGAGGAGGAGGCGGGTGAGGGAAGAGAAGGCGGTTGAGGGAAGGGGAGGCGGGTGAGGGAGGAGGAGGCGGGTGAGGGAGGAGGAGGCGGGTGAGGGAAGAGAAGGCGGGTGAGGGAGGAGGAGGCGGGTGAGGGAAGAGAAGGCGGGTGAGGGAAGGGGAGGCGGGTGAGGGAGGAGGAGGCGGGTGAGGGAGGAGAAGGCGGGTGAGGGAGGAGGAGGCGGGTGAGGGAAGAGAAGGCGGGTGAGGGAGGAGGAGGCAGGTGAGGGAGGAGGAGGCAGGTGAGGGAGGAGGAGGCGGGTGAGGGAAGAGAAGGCGGGTGAGGGAGGAGGAGGCAGGTGAGGGAGGAGGAGGCAGGTGAGGGAGGAGGAGGCAGGTGAGGGAGGAGGAGGCGGGTGAGGGAAGAGAAGGCGGGTGAGGGAGGAGGAGGCAGGTGAGGGAGGAGGCAGGTGAGGGAGGATGTGGCAGGTGAGGGAGGAGGTGGCAGGTGAGGGAGGAGGCAGGTGAGGGAGGAGGAGGCAGGTGAGGGAGGAGGCAGGTGAGGGAGGAGGAGGCGGGCTCACAGGCAGAGGAGCAGAATCCTCTCTAGATCAGATTTGAGTTGAGGTGACATCGCCCCTGTAGAGATGGCTCTAATCTCACAAGTTTTGAGTGCTGTATGGTGTATCACTCAAATTATTATCACACATGTTCATAGGATGGACTGTGAAACATGAAGAATATGATATGGCACCTACATAAGAAGACAACATTTACTGTTTTAATTAAACCACTAAAATAGATTTCTGGCATGTCATCTAGAGGTGAAATTTTGAAAATTACAAGATTGGGAAAACCTTAAAGATACACAGTGTAATTTCTAGTGCCTCTAGCGTTGAGATGTTATATTGCAGTCTCATGTATTGAGATTTGAGTACAGCCTGTAGAGTTAAGGAGACTTTTGCCTATACTGTTTGACAGTGCTCCTCAACTCTCAGTCTTTCACCAGACTGCCAAGGAAAGAATACTTTAGTTTGATAAATGACCGGATCTCTCCAAACGTCTCGGGCACTTGACAGTCGATTGGAGGAGTGGATGTAAACAAGACCACGTTCAGACAGCAGCACCCTACACAGAGGCTCTACTGAGTTTTACCATGGATCTACAGTATTATAATATATAGTTAGTATATAGCTAGAGAAGAGACACATGGAGGAATAACGTCTGTGTGAGGTTAAAACTACGGTGATCAAAGAAGCAGGACATATCCAGAGCTGCGGCAGGACATGGCTAAAAGCTCCTGTTAGCATTAGCGTTAGCCACAGCGCCCTATCTGCGTAACGGTAAGAAAACAGAACATTCACTCACGCTGCTGATAAAGTATTCTGTGACTGTTTTGTGGGGATTCTGTGTGTGCTTTATTTGAGGCTTGTCCCTGAATAAGTTTAGTTGCAACTTTATATGACGCTGGATTTTTGCATAAATATTTTTCTAAAAGATTGTTGTTCCGATCGTTCTTTTACATAACTGTGGTCCTCCATGGTTCCTTCTTCCCACTTGTGAAGCCACAGTGAAAGCAACGATATCAGGAGCTCATGTGAAACGAAAACGTGTTTCTCGCATCCTTTTTGTCTTTACCCACCACCGGTTTTCAACATGGCGCATTTACAAGGATAGTCCTCCTCTCTCATGGACACTTAAAAGTTAAATTCTAAGCCTATGAATACAATTTAAAAAAACATGGTGGAGGTAAATATTCTTAAAAAGGTCACATTTGTTATTAGTTAACATGTTTTTCATATGGAGCAGCTGTAAAAATGACACAGGGTGGCTTTAATGTATATGGCATGGACTCATGGCATGACATCAAGTGGCCCATGCCAAACGTCTGTATGTAATGATTTGTATTACTATGGTTACAGATTTTATAAACCCCATATTTATATTTAATAGTTCATATGTGCAGGTATTTCACACAGACTCAAATACTTTCAGATCCAAACATAATAATCATGAAGTAGTGTCCTGCGTTCCACTGTTACATCAGGATATATCACTGAGTTGCCCTGAGCTTACATCACACATATATAATACAGGGTTTAGAGTATTTCCTCTCACTCAAGCGGTCGAGCCCTGATGCATTTCTACAGTTATGAAAACGACCTGGAAATACAACCATTTCTCACATTTTTCTGGCTAGCTTAATTGTGGATGAGAACTAGTATTATTTTGTTGAAACTACAATCTAAAGATGCATCAGTGGATTCCTGTGCAGTATAAAAACAACTGATCTTTTGCAATCAACCATCACTGATACAATTCAATTGCATTCATTAGAGATTCTCTACTTGCTTTGCCCACTGTAGGAGAGTGTCAAAATAAACAAACCACATCAATACTGTAGAGAGGACAGAGGGAAGAGTCTACATTGCTTTTATACAGGACCAATTGCAACCATAAGAAAAGCCTGAATGAGCTGCCACCCAATGCTCATTTCCATAAAAGCAACAATTGCAATATACTACATTTTTCAATATATTGCAGCACCTTCTTACTTACAAACGTGCCCATTAAACTTCTATAAAAGGAATTCGCTCTCTGCATTTATATGACGAGTTTTATCTACAACCTAAGTAGCTTCCTACTGGTAATCCACTCTGGGGGTTCAAGACCCTTATATACGGCTCCAGAATAAAACGTTCTCTTTCAGACCCTGCTTCATGTGTACCTGAAATATGATCTATTTCCATCCTTTCACTGTGTCTGAATGTTTGAATATAGACTTTGTATTAATGTGACAATATTTAGATTATTATCAACATACAACAACAATCTAGCCTGGTCTTACCACACCATCATACTCATTTCATTTCAAGCTTAGGTTTGAATATGATTTGATCTCAATTGAGCGCCGTTAACTTTTGCAGATTGAGTTCATGTATCTGGTGGTGACGTCTGTAATGCACAGTAATGTGAGTGAGGCATTTGGCATTTAGCCTAGCTAAACATTCCTCCTGCTCCGGCTTTTAATTTCTTGATATTTGGAGCCGAACCAGAACGGAATGAAGAGCTTCCTATACTATCACATTCGCCGCCATTGCCAAACTACAACTAGCAAATTTGGCGCAAAGTCTAGACGTCACCAACACCCGCCTCCCCTGCTCGCTGAATGGGCGGAGGGGAGTCAGCCGAGGTAACCTCAGCCACGAAGATCAGACCCAGACATACATGTACTGTATGGAAATGATCATTGACCGGAGTTTATGGCTTAGGCCAGGCTAACAACAATCTAAAATAAAAAAATGTTTGTGGAATTTGGATTATTTGATGATACAAATAAGTCCATCACTGGGCTGTTAAAGAGACAGACAGCTTCTTATGTCAGCCTTCAAGAGCCCTTCAGAGCCCTGGCCTGACCCCTACTGGCCACTATACAGTATCTATCCTCATACCTGAAAATACTGAACACACAGATTTACAAGTAATTATAACCGTTTTGTCTATTATAACCTAGTATTTTTGCCAAGAAAGAAGGTCCTGGGTTTGAATCGCTGTCATAACAGGGCCTTTCTGATTAGAGTTTGCATGTTCTCCCCGTGTCTGGTTAGGTTTCCCCTACCACTAAAAACATGCACAATAGGTATGAATGTAAAGATAGAGTGAATGGATTGTGAGAATGGAAAAATATCTTAACTCTGAAGATTGTAAAGCGGTTTGGGTGACCTTTATGTGTTAAAAATGTGCTAAATAAATAAAGAATACTTACTTACTTACATATAATTTCACCCTATTTACACTATATTTATTGAATATTGTTACATTATTAGACATACAGTGGGGCGACAGTGGCTCAGTGGGTAGAGCATTGGCCTTTGGGCCTGAAGGTTGTGGGTTCGAGCCCACCGTAAGACCTACTTCATGACTCTGCTGTCGTTGTGTCCTTGGGCAAGACACTTAAACCCACTTTGCCTAGAGCCCCCACTGAAAGATCTCAGCTCCTGTGGACTCACCACCTGCAGAAGGATCAGTGAGGGGCAGGTTCTCTGTGGACTGGGTGCAGCTCTGACTGCCACCCCCCCGACGCAGAAATGGATTAAGGGGAAGAAAATGGATGGATCGATGGTTGGATGGATATTAGACATACAGCATACAGTTATGTAAAAAAAAAAAACCCCACCTGGGCAATATAATAAAACAAAACAGATACACAGACACACACATGTATACAGAAAGGGAAAAAACATGAATTCAAATAGATAAACAAATAACCTCCCTGTTCCAATTGAATCCTCCTCCAGATCATGAGGAAACGTCTTAGATTCAAAAAAACTTGTGTTGACAATGTTTAAACTGAGAACCTCAACTTCTCAGGCCTCAAATTGTATAAGACTTCTTGAACCCAACGGAATTGTGAAAGGGGATGGGGAAGCTTCCAATTTTTGCAAAATCAGCCTGTGCAACCCCTGCATTGCGCTTCCAGTACATGACCAGTATGAGGAGCTAGTGAGCAGGGCGGTGAAATCCTACCTTGACCAGGATCTCCAGCTCCGTGGTGTTGACGCAGGAGTGCTCAGTGAGGAAACGAAGCTTCTTTTCCAGGATGGCCACTTTCTGCAGGTCCTCCTCCGGCTGCTCCAGGGCTTTGAACACGGTGGCCCCGATGATGAGGTAAAGCACCACCAAGAAGAAGATGGCTGACACGGTTTTCCACCTCATGACGCTGATCCTGGTTTCACACTCATCGTCGTCTTCTGGGGGGGTCAGCACCACTGGGTTGGAGGAGAAGGACAGGCGCGGTTTGCAGTTGTTGGCAGCAGACTTCGGGTCCAGGAGGTCAGGTGCGGCCACTGCGGGATGATGATAGACAGTATTTAGATCCTAGATGAGAAGAGAGATTATACTAGTGCAAGTCTAGACCTGAACTAGTACTGACCATACATTAGATCTCAGGTTACATGTTTTCAAAGATCGTATATACATTTTACGACAAGAAAAAAAATAACTAAATTGTGTCTATTAAGAATTTTCGTACTAAATAATAATAATGCATTAACCAATGCATTATTATTATTATGTAGCGCTTTTTTGTTTTTACATGTCATTATTCATTCACTCATATCACCACTGTGTGTAGTTTATCACACGGTGGTGATGTAGCTAGAGCTGTAGCCACAGACTGACAGAAGCGAGGCAACCAGTAGTGCCATCGGCCCCTCCAACCACCAACCATTCACACACACACCAGACTCATTCTAGGCAATGGGGGTGAAGTGTCTTGCCTAAGGACACAGCAGTTTGGCACTTCACAGCCGCAGCTGCCCCACTGTGGCTGGTGTTCCCAGAGGTTAAGTGTCTTGCCAAGGAAACAACGACAGCAGACATCAGTGGGAGTCAGTGGAGAAAGTCTTGTGGTGGGCTCGAACCCACGACCTTCAGGCTCTACCAACTGAGCCACTGTCACCCCTGACCGAAAGGTGCAAAATTCTTGCACATTTCCTGTCTTTTGCACAACCTGAGTGATCCTCTTTATGTCAAATGTGACATGTACAATTTTTCTATTGTGAGATCCATAAAGTTTATCTTATCTTAGTCGCTGACAATAATTACTATTTGTCAACCATAGATTGTATATATATATGGACAATGCTAACCTGTCAGCTTAACGAAGACTAATAAGGCGTTCATATTGACATACATTGAAACTCACTATTTTCTTCTCAAAGGTGGTTTACTGCTTTGTAATGCTGGAGATTTTTTTTTTTGGACGAGGTTTCTGCTCTAGCAAAAGAACAAACCAGTGCTGATCTTCATTGGTTCTTTGGTTGCTAGGCTGTTGCTACCTAATTTGAAACCTGTTTGAGATAGGGTTAGCACTTGGTTAGTCCACTCCTTTAACAGTTTATGTTGTTGTCAACTTTAGCTATAATGTAAATCTTTTCGATCTATGCATTGGCTGCCTTGCAAAACAAACTGATAGCAGTGGTTTGTAGCATCATATGCATTGATACGATTGTCTAAGATAAACAATTATATCAAAAACATATAAACAATTATATCAAAAACATCAGCCAATTATTAATTATTAATTTTTTACAAATGGTTTATTGAAATTATCCAGCAGCATGTTATTCTGTGACAAAATAAATGTCAATATTGTTAAATGCAATATACTGTATGCTGTTAATGCGACCACTTTGTGACTCCCAGTTATATCCGTGACCAAAAGCTGATGATCAAAATGTTTTGGGGCAAATTGTAAACATCACATCTCAAACTTACCATTATTATTTTTGTAAAAATCAAACAGAATATTCACAATCCAACCTTTCGACACAATTTCACTAATATCAGTTGATAGGCGGGTTGTTAACCATTTAAGCAGAGCATGAACCACAGCTGCAAAATGGACTATTATCTACCTGAGATCGCACGCACCTTTCTTCCATTGGAAATACAGCCTCAAAACACTACCACACATCTATTGAGAAAACCAGATCTAAGTAGCGTGACATCTATCCTCACAGCTATACAACCAACCTCCCATATTCTTTCTCGTCTCTGTCACTGTTATAAATGTTCACTCCAATGTCCAAACATGTTCATGTAAATTCACACTTTCATCACACTATATATGTGTGATGAAAGTGCAGTGATCTCCCTGTATCACTGCAGCCTGTGAATCAACCAGCACCTGCAGCCGCTCCTGCCAAGTACCAGTATTTTGACCCTGAAGGTGAGGTCCTCGGCAAAAAGGTAAATAAACAAATGCATTTCATGACTTGATTAAACCCCTACAATACTGTGTTTACCTGTTTATAAATGCATGGTTCCTTCATTCACACCCCCACTGACCCTATAGACTTAATTTGTCTTTCAATCCATCCTTAACCATCTGAGCCACGTATATCACGACTATTGATTATATGCCCCACTTTTCTCTCCCCATAAAGAAACAGGAAAAACATGCGGCAACAGAACTCTGAATCGGGCTGTAAAGCTCAACAAAAAGTCCTCACTATTCGCTCTATATATATATATATACTCTACTCACTATTATTCAAATGTGGTAATCTGCATAAACGGGCTAAGCGAGAGACTAAATGCGTAATTGAAGCCCCATGCACTGTTTGACTCTGGGGCACAAAATAAACAGGGGAAAGGCGCAAAAGCGTATAAAATATTCAACACTATTCCACATTGCAAGCAGCCCTGCTACTATAAGATGCAATTACATAACCGCCCCACGAGGTCTTAATTGTTGCAACTGTGGGCTGTTTTCAACGACTTTAATAGGAAAGTGCACGTAAACCTTGCTATTTTAATGGTATACCTGTATAAAAAGGCCACTATGGCTCTAGATAAAATGCCATCCCCAAAATGTATTATATATAAGCCCTACGTTTGATTCAATATAGCAAAATAAGTGATGTAAGTGTAAATCTTATGCGTTAAAATATGTTAAGCCACTTCAAAGTTTAACATGTTTTACTCTTTCATTCATAATTTCAGTGCTTTGAAAATATCAATAATTTCGCTTACTTCTCTACCATCTCCCCTCTCTTTGTTTTTCCATCGACGAGGCTTCTTTAGGTTCAAAACAAGATGAATGACATAAAATCCTCCACAGATCAGCGTCGCCGTGTGTCTCCCATAGAAGATGCGCTCTGACTCCGCACGGTGCGCTGGTGCCGCGTTTCAACCTCTGCAGAGAAAAGACATTCAGGACAGAGCGTTCCGACCTGGACCAGCGTGAAAACTGTCAAAGCATCAGCGCAAAGACGAAGAGTGTTAAAGCGCGTGTGGTGATGAGGAGCGTGCGGAGAGGAGGGATCATTCCCAGAGGTGGAGACTGAGGAGAGAGAGAGAGAGAGTGGAGACTGAGGAGAGAGAGAGAGAGAGAGAGCGAGAGAGAGAGAGAGAGAGAGAGAGAGAGAGAGAGAGAGAGAGAGAGGGAGGTGCCAACTCTAAGGAGGTGCCAAGGTCTATTAGCGAAACAGTGTATGTGGTAGGGACATATAGAATCAAGTATCAATCATTAAGATTAAGAGATGCTTTATTCGTTTACACAGTGAGGAAATGTCAGTGTTGCATCACAAGCAGCACACAACACAAGATAAGTGAACATTAAAGATGCAATCAGTGATTTTTACACATTTTTGTAAATATAGAGAGAAAACTAAACCCTAAAAAGTAGTCAAGTTATCATGTGTTTTCAAATAGTGAAATGGAATTGACCAGATCTCCAAAAAAAGAGCGGGCCGATAAAAATAAACCAAAGGGACTTATCCCCAACGAAACAATGGGATGCTCTTTAAGGGCAGAGTCACATTTTTCCAACGGTGCCAGCCCAAATGTGTTGTACAGCGCTTGGTCCAGCTGGTGGCGCTATACCTCGAGGTCCGTTTCTTTTCCGGTTTGCATTCGGGTACTGTGTCGCTAGACAGCTCAAGCATGGATTGCGTTCTTTGCAATCAGAGTCAACGTGAACAAGAGTGAGATGTGTCTTTCTCCAATGGGCAACAGTGTAATGGGTAATGTGTGTGTGAGAGTGCGCGGCGGACACAGGAATGAGCATTAAATAATGAAAAGTGTGGCATATGAGCAGAGCGACTGGTGCAAATGAATGTCTGTGTGTTTTGGCGATGAAAGAAAGTCTGACTCTTGAGTAACAGTTTGAAGAGGAAAGCTGCGTTTCCACTGCCAATGCATGGACGTGCGTTGATGGAGGCTTGGACGCACGTTCACTAAATATCAGCTGCAGGAGTTTTAGTCAATCTGCCGTACTATCCTGTGTTGGGAAAAACCCAGGGCGGAAGTTGTGGGCGGGCTTTGATGCTTTGAACGCCGGTACTTCCGCATTGGCGAACACGTTAGCAGCACTTGTTTACAGTCACAGTAGAATGCCAACTCAGGGTGAAGACATAGTTTAGCTCATGTTTTGGTTGTTTTCGAGTGTCTGTTTGGACCGGCTTGTTTCCCTGTGACCACTTTGCTGCTCTCTGATTGGTTGCCCCATGTGTGCGAAGGATGACCATCTCCTGCTTTTGCTGCATGCATCTAGCTGCTGTACCCACCGTCTCTGCTGCACCACAACAAGGCGTCTTCTGCGCCGGACAAAAGTGCATGCCGCAACATTTATGGAATTCCACGCATGGGCAGACGTCACCACTGACTTTGCATTGAAACAAACTGCAACGCATGATCCGGTGGGAACTCAGCCTGTGATAGCGAGGGTCAAAACAGGAGGTAGTTATTCCCCGTAGGAAAGGCATCCCTTCAGCCCTGGTGCGACAGATCTCCCAAGCAGGGAGAATGCAAAAGTATGCAACTGCCGGGACAGACGTGTGTGAAAATGCACGTCACAGCGGGCGCAGCAGGAAGACGTAATGTGACGCACAATATCGCGTCCCCACTGTTTTGGGATGTTGATGCCTCAAGGAGTGTAATGACACTTTCTACAAACTGTATTGACACTGTGTTGGTCACTCATTGGTGACCTCTACTGTATGTGTAAAATGATGACAGGTAAACAATATGTACAGGATGTGAACCCAAACCAAATGAGTTGGGATTTTGTGTTCAATCATCTGAAAAAACACACTAGAATTATTAATTCATACATTTTCATTGAGAAACAATAGTTTTTGAAGAGTCTTATCTCCGAGGCAATTCTTCCTCTTGGAAACTTGTTCTCCAGCCTTAGAAAAGACACTTGTTCGTCAGAGGTACAACAGCCACTTCTTTAACAGCCAAAGAACAATCAACACAATTTAGCGCAGCACATACAAACGACACAGTTTTTATATCGGTCACGTGATTTTTTGTTAAAGCGATACATGCACCAATACGGGGTTTCTCACTTGAGCACTCGGCACAGCGCTGAAGCATCAGTGTCGTTCGTCCCATCCCTTGTCCCCACCACACCTCACCCCCCACTCCCCACCAGAAGAATTTGTTTGACTTATGGAACTTTGATTACTTTGGAAGTGGAATTTAGTTTATTTAAAGTTCCTTGTCATCTGAGCTTTGTGCAATCAGAGCAGGGGTGGAGCATGAGACAGCCGTGCACTCTGCATTTGTTGATTTGCTGATCTAAATGGTTGAAATACACAAAAAGTATAGACTACTTGCATACAATTACCATACATATACAACAATACTCAATTATAGAAACATGTCTCTCTATAATTTGTTACACTTATCATTCTATCCTTTTGAAGTCCCAAAAGCAACATACATCACAGAGAGACACTTAATGTTAATCAGTAAATTGGTTCATTTCAGAATAAAACACTGATGTGTGCCTTTTTTTTAATAAAGGTGGATAAATAATCGCAGTCTGATAGTGATCTTTATGAGCGCTGTTATACAGCACAGGATGGATGTAGTTTGGATCATGGAAATGTGTTCAAAATCTGAATATTGGATGTGAGATGTGCCTAGTACACCTCGTAAATCTATTCTGATGAATAAATACAAAGACATGCATCAATGTTGTATACAAAGATTCAGTATGAACAATTAGGCCGCCTGTTTTTATGGCCACTTTCACCTCGAGGTAGGTGAGCACCAGAAGCCTGAAGACCTGCCACTAATTTGATTGTCTAGTTTTGTGTGCGTGTGTGTGCGCGTGTGTGTGTGTCTATGTGCGTGTGCGTGTGTGCGTATGCGTGCGTGCGTGCATGTGTGTGTGTGCGTGCGTGTGCGTGTGGTGCACGTACGTTGATGTATTGATTGCATTTTCATGAGCTAATTCTCCTAATTGAGGCTCAGTCGTCTGGAGCTCCACGTCACAACGACCTTAAATACTGAAAGCAACAGTACGAGACAATAACAACATATTTAAATGAAAGCAGGGCAATGTGGGAAAAAAAGATCTTTGGACAGATGATGAGAAAGGAAATATCCCCGACCCATTTCAGTATCATAAAGAGAATGATTCAAACCTTCACTGGGAGAGGCTGTTGTTTATGGATGTTTGTGCTGACTACTACTTTCAACCCTTGTATAATAAATTGACATCCTGGCCTTATGTTGATATAAAATAAGTCATTTTATTAATTCTAATATTACGGGCAAGTCCCGCCTTCCCTGCTCTTAGCTATAGTTCAGAATCCACGGTGCCGTCGAGGTTAACCAATCGAGTCATGCCAAGGGCTGTCAATCATCGGCGCTGGTGCTCGCAGCCGCGCGCATGCTCAGTTGTTTGTTTTCGCGGAGCCTCCAAATCAAGCCTCTATTAGGCTCTGGAACTACATAAAAACTGAACAAAGAATTCTGAACATCCGCGCTGAGTTACCCATTTATATACTGAACCTATATCCATAATCATTTATATACTGAACCTATATCCATAATCAGACCCTCTGCAGATTTGTCCTATAATGTGCAATTCATGATAATAGCACTTCCTGGTTTGCCGCGACCGCTTTTTTTGTGCATAAAAACATTATTTTTTTCATTAAAACGTTCACAAATAATTCTGAAAACCTCCGTGCATGTGTATTAATAATGTATATGTATAATGTGTTCTCTGATTAACAT